CTGAAACACAACTTTTTCCTTACAGAGCCATGTAGAAAACTTTGGTAAAACAATTTCAGAAAATACTGGAAAAGTGATATCTGGATGCCTGGATGTTTAGAACTTGCCCCCAGTTCCTTTGTATAATTTGTCAAAAGAGTGTAAATTCTGTTCTACTGATATTCTCTAATAAGGTAATGGGAAGAAACAGCCACAACTCAAAAGGGCTAAGGAAGTTCCCCTGCTACAAATTTACCCATTTGCCTAAAAATCTTGTCTAACTCATTTTTAATGGAAGCTGATTGGACTGGGTTTTTAAAAAACTCTGTTACAGTAATAATAATTCACTAATATAGCATTTTCTAATGCAATTCTCATGACCTTTGAGGTAAGTAGTTTTGTCCCCAGTTTATAAATGAGAGAGCTGAAGTTCAGAGGATTTAAATGAACTCCCTAGAGTCAAAAAGCTATACACAGGATGTATGGCAAGCACCTTTACCCAGCTTCATCTTCTTATCGTCCTGCCCTCCTCTCCCCTTTGTCCAAATTTCCTTATCAATTATTTAAACTCTTGATTAGTATTTGTTTCTCATGCCATGTCCAAATGCTCTGTTGAAATGGAGCGAGGAATAAATAAATTAAAAGTCATACAACCAGGACAGAATGCAGCACTTCTGCCTGCATGAGCACAGATTCTAAGATAATGAGCCTTGCTGCCCTAACACCACCACCACCCCTGCCCTAGGCTCCTCCCTCCCTCTCCCTCTCCCTCTCCCTCTCCCTCTCCCATGAACAGGGCTGGTGGGCAAAACTGGTGCTCAGAACCCTGAAAAAACTGACAAGAGCCCCAGATTCTACATATCACACAGGTAGTCAGGATTTAGCAAACACATACAAAAAATTACAGCCCCCTGGAGCTCTTCACATCAACGAGATCAACAAAAATGAGAAATGTGAGCTCTCAGAACTGCAGAGTACCTGGGTATGCTGTGTGACAAGACCTGGCACCTAGCAAGTGCTTCATAAATATTAATTTAATTAATTTCCTCCTTCCCATCCTTTGGGTAAAACCAGACTCACATACTTAACTCATCCCCTTCAGAACATATTTTTCTCACATTTTCCAGAGTTCAAAACTAGAAGGGATATATAGAGTTTCAGTTTTACAAGATGAAAAAGTTCTGGGGATCTGTTACACAGCGATGTGAAGAAACAATACAACTGAACCATACACCTAAAAATGGTAAAGATGGCAAATTTTATGCTACATGTTTTTCACCAAAATATATATATAAAAAAAAATTAAGTTGAGGGGAGATCTGGAAGTTTGCTAATCATTTGTAGTTATTCCTCAAGTGTTAATGTTTCAAATGATTTTTTTTCCAATTAAAGATTAGGTTTTCCCCCCACATAATTATAATCGGCAGGTGGTTGGCAAAGGGGGCATTGTTAAACTTTGTTTTAATAAAACACCTAGTATTGGTGATACTTATATTATTCTATACTTTATTAGTACATATGTGTTAACTGCAGAAAAGGTAGAGAAAAGTGAGAAAGCCATTTTAAATGGGACCACTTGATGTATGTACCTTTGGAGAGGAGGCTGCTTTTCAAGAGATTCTCATGATAGCCACTCCCTTTCTCAGATTGATGGTAATCTAGATTTTCCTAGGAACCTTGTATATGAACTTTTTTTTAAATACTCAAGTATATTCCTTAGCATCACCATTTTAGCACTGAGGTTCTAATTTCATAATTTTTTCAATTAAGTTTATTGCAGTAACATTGGTTATTACAATTATATAATTTTCAGGTGTACATTATAATTTGACATCTGTATATTCTATCGTGTGTTTACCACCCAAAGTCCAGTTTCCCTCAGCTACCACATATTTGACCCCCTTCACCCTGTCTACCTCTTCCCTCCTCCCCTACCCTCTATCCTCTGGTAACTACTAGTCCATTGTCCATGTCCATGAGTCTCTGTTTGTTGGTTCTATTCATTTGTTGCTTTTAGGTTTATATCCCACATATAAGTGATATTGTGTTATTTTCAACTTTTTCTGCCTGGCTTATTTCACTTAGCATGATTATCTTGAGGTCCATCCAGGTTGTCAGAAATGGCAGTATTTCATCTCTTCTTATAGCTGAGTAATATTCCATTGTATATATGTACCACAGCTTCTTTAGCCAATCAGCT